AAGTGAGATGAAGAGGCCTCTCCGCGATTTCCATTTACACCCGGCTGTTCTTTTAATAATTTCCCACCCCGGTGTTCACAGCTTCTCAGTTCCAATTAGGAACTTGTGAAGACAAGACATTTGAATCTCATTAAATGACCCAAAATGGATTTAATTCCACTTGGGCACAGGCAGGAGTTCTGGGTTTGTTTATTAGCGTGTCTGGCAGTTATTTAAACACCGTGATCCTTTTTTTGGGGGGGGCGGTTGAGGGTTATACTGGTACTTTCAATGCTCCATCATCATCATCCATCACCCTTTTGGTTCACTGCTAAATGGACAGATACTTTCAGTAGTCAACGTGAACCATAAAATAACTACAGAAGAAACATGATGAAGCATGATTAAGAAAAGAACATTAAAATGCAAATGGGGAGGGAGGCGGCGGTGGTGGTGGTGGTGGTGGTGGTGGGGGGGGTGTTCTTCAGCATGATTACAACAGATGGTGACCTGCCTCTAAAACGTATGGAGGAACTGGAGATGGGGACCTCCTTCCAGATGCAGTTTCTTTTTTTTAACTTCTTTCAGGACGGCAGGTCTTAACTCATTTACTTTTCGTGTGCCCGATGACCCCTCCCTCTTCCCCCCTCCCTCCTTTCCCTGACTTTGACTGTTCTATTTGGGATCTTGGCTGTCTTTCTTCATCTGCCTGATCAAAATACCACAGTTCCCTCTGGAGGTGCCGCTTCAAACACAACTTCACAGGACGTAGCTCAAAGCGGGCGGCTGACGGAGGGGGAAGAGGTGAACTCAGGAAAAACACGGCGGCTCGGCTGGATCCAGGCGGCGGGCTCCTCTCGTCTATAAAGATGTTATAAAGCCACACGCTGGAGATTACGCCGCTAATCTGTTCTGACAACCACACTGTCGTTGATTATTAAAGGCCCATTCTGTAATCCTAAAGTACACCGGGAAGACGGCTCGCTGCGGAGAAGCATCAGTAAGCTTTCATCCGAGCCCAGTGGGAAATATGGGACGAGGACAAAAGCTCTAGTCACTTAGCAAGTTTTTCCGAGCAGACATAGCAGGAAGTCGCACGCAGTGTACAGCAGAACCCAAAGAAACATTCATTTCTGGATAATTCTGTCGGGGATTAAAAAAGAAAGAAGGTAAATCTATTAATAATGACATTTCAAAAGATGCCTTTGTGTTCCCCGACAAAGACAGCGAGGACGTAGCGGTAGGATTTCTATTGATTGGAATGAAACTTGTGGAACCGAATCGATAAAGCCGTACCGGGTGACATTTGAATAAAAATAAAGCCACTTTCGTCCTGTAAAACAAGTCGCCGGCACTTGTCAGCAGCGCAGTGATGTCTGCTCTGCTCTGCTGCGTGGGTTAGCTGCGTGGGTTAGCTGGGTGGGTTAGCTGCGTGGGTTAGCTTGGTGGGCACGTGCTGGGGCGGGTGGTGCCAGCTTTCGGGGGCCCGGCGTTGGGCTTTTCTCCGCAGACACCTGTAAGGCCGCCGTCTATCGCATTTCCCTCCATTAATCTCCCCGCATAGCCATTTAGATTGCATTTGTTCCTCGTCTTGCGGGCTGCTGAATGCCAAGCGGACCTAACGATCCCTGACTAGCTCTAGAGCTCAGAGCTCGGCATATTTTCTTCTCGCCCCCGCCCCCCCTCCCCTGTCTCTTTTGTTCCTCCACTGACGGGGAACTGAAAGAGATTAAACTCGCCACAGTTACAGGGGACGCTGCAAAAGGGGGAGATTCTCCTCATTTGCTGTGGGGCCCCGGCTCGCCCCTGACTGACAGCTCTGCACCCGCTCCGTCTCTCCTAGGGGGGGCTGAATTAGCCGTGCCCGGCTGAATTAGAGGTCATCTTTTACCTCGCGTACTCCAGCCACTGCCTGCCTTTTCTTCCACAGGATCACGGCCAAGGCGATCCCGTCATGGCCGCCTCCCTACGCAGCCGTTTCATCTGCAAACAACTGTCCAAAATAGCCTCTTTGATGGGTTCTGGCGGCAGGCGGATCAGCGCGGGATCTCGGCTCAACTCTCCCTAAGAACACGGCAGCGGGCGACTATGAAGCTGAAAAACCCTCCATTGTGTGCGACTCTCGATAACCCTCTTTTTTCCACTGCAAAACTGCCATCTTTACATTTCACGTACAAAGAAACCTCGTGAAAAGAGAAAGGAATGGCTTTACAGATGCTATCTTACATGGTCTCCCCTGTGATTGGCGCATAAGAAGACTACAGCGGCCTCCTGCATCCAGGCGGCCTTGAGGAACCGACTCCTCGCAGCCTCTTTGTCGGGAAAACACAAGCCCCCATGAAATTGAAGAAAACCCAAAGTGCAGATAACACAAGCAGAGCGTGTAAATTCACTGCGCGCCCGGCAGCAGAAAGCCAGAAGGGATTTATGGACAAGCGAGATGACTTGCAGCGACACAATAGAATGTTTAATCCCCTTTGCGTTCCCCATAAAAAGAAAATGCACGCCCGCAGTTTGTGTTGTGCTGAGCTCGTGTTTGGGCAGGGCAGTGCTAAAAGGCCAAAGAGATCTCAGGCAGGTACGTGACTATTTTCTTTTTC